TTAGTCGGGCTTTCATTCCCTCGATCTCAGAATCTTGAGCCCGGGGTTGCGTCCTTCGTTCTTCGGCTGCGGTTGAGTCGCGGTGTTGGGGGCTTGGACGAGCAGCTCTCGAGCTGCTCGGGTTAGCCAGTGTCGGATCGATTGTTAGATTGTCCAATCGTCCGGTCGTCTCGACTCTGGTCCGGCGCTCCGGGGTCGGAAACGAACTTCGTCGAGGCTGTGGTGAATTTTGATTTGACCTTGGTTGAAGTTGGTCCAGCTGTGCTCGGTAACCGGCCTGTGCCGAGCTTAGAAAGTCGAGCCGTGAGTTGGTGGTGCGAGTCTGCTCTTCCTGACGATCAAAACGTTGCATGATCACCTCCATCATGGCTATCATAGGGTCCTGACCCGGGGCGACCGCTGCTTCTTCTGTTGCGGTTATTGGTTGGACGACCTGAGGGCGATCCGGGGTATCGAGGATAACCTGGTCGTCTAGGGCTCGCTCTTGCTGAATTCTGTCCATTTCCGAGTTCATATCGTGAGTTGGAGAATTTCTTATCCCCTACCTGGCGCGCCAATTGTTGATTCAGGTATTCGACAATGTATTTGTATTCGGTAAAGGATCGGAAATTCCCGTTTAATGATGCTAACTCGGYATAGGTTACAGCAAATGATTTTATAAGTGACAGAAGAAGAACTGTGTATCGAGCTTGGAAGATACGAGGTCGCTGTATTCTAGGTCGGTGAATGAGTATCTGAGGTCGGTCACTCGGAATAGCAAGTAGAAGCTCAGTATATCTACCAGTGAACAGTTCCTATATTTCTTGATCGATCGAGCTCAATCAGAAGATTCTTTCCTTTTGGTGTCAGAGAATAATTGCTTTTAGCTCTCAAATTCTTTTATGCTTGTCTTAGAATAGAAAAAACATGCTCAACTTATGGGATGAGGTCCCCTATTTATACTAAAAGTAGAATGAGTAAGGTACTAGGTTTTTCTCGGGACCGGCGCCGATGTCATCTGCTTTAGAAGATGACTGGGCCTCCCTTGGGCCCGAATCGTTAAGTATTGAAACAAGCTCGTTGGGCTTCTACCTTCTGGGCCGAACTCGTCGGGCTTCGGCTTGCTGGGCCTCTTCGGAAATGGGTTTTTAGAGTGACTACTGTCGAAGCCCGTGCCCAACATGTAGTACCATTGTATAGTTTTAACATTTTTGTACATTTTAAATTAACAACAGATGATGAT